CCCTATACTTGCAACATCTGCCACACTGCTCCCCTATCCACTCTCATCATATTCCTTTTCTAAATCCATAAATGCAATGAAAACTTCCCTACCTTTATCTAAATACTGTTCACATATATGTTTCAATGTAACACTTGATCTACACATCCCCTACCCACTCTGAAACCTCCTTGCTCATCTGCAATCCTACATTCTGTCTTACCTCTAATTCTTTCAATATAACCCTAAACCCTACACTTTTCCTGGTATACTCAGTAAACTTATTCCTCTATAATTTTTACTATCTCTTTTGTCCCCCTTCCCTTTATATAAAGGGACTATACATGCTCTCCGCCAGTCCCTAGGTACCTTCCCCTCTTTCATACATTTATTAAACAAAAGTACCAACCACTCCAACACTATATCCCCCACTGCTTTTAACATTTCTGTCATGATCCCTTCAGTTCCAGCTGCTTTACCCCCTTTCATTCTCCGTAATGCCTCACGTACCTCCACCACACTTACATTCTGCTCTTCTTCACTCCTAAAAGATGGTATACCTCCCTGGCCAGTGCATGAAATTACCGCCTCCCTTTCTTCCTTAACATTTAAAAGTTCCTCAAAATATTCTCGCCATCTACCTAATACCTCCCTCTCCCCATCTACTAACTCCCCTACTCTGTTTTTAACTGACAAATCCATACGTTCCCTAGGCTTTCTTAACTTGTTTAACTCACTCCAAAATTTTTTAAACATGTACATCCTGGAGCCTACCCATCAACCTTTTATCCACCAATACATAATCTAACAAACTACTTTCATTACATGCTACATCATACCTTGTATATTTATTTATCCTCTTTCATAAAATATGTATTACCAAATCTCTTTCTACACATAGTTCAATTAAAGGCTCCCCATTTACATTTACCCCTGGCACCCCAAATTTACCTACTACTCCCTCCACAACATTTTTACCCACTTTAGCATTGAAATCCCCAACCACAAATACTCTCACACTTGGTTCAAAACTCCCCACGCATTCACTCAACATTTCCCAAAATCTCTCTCTCCTCTACACTTCTCTCTTCTCCAGGTGCATATACGCTTACTATAGCCCACTTTTCACATCCAACCTTTACAGTGGACCCCCGCATAGCGACTTTAATCCGTGCAAGACAGCTGATTGTTATGCGAAATGTTCGGTATGCGAATGAATTTTTCCCATAAGAAATAATGGAAATCAAATTAATCCGTGCAAGACACCCAAAAGTATGAAAAAAAAAATTTTACCACATGAAATATACATTTTCCTACACACAAAGTGAAGGATACATGCACAATAGTAGAGTAGTACATGCAGAATATATATTGTGCATGTACTACTCTACTAAATGAAGAATAAATGACACTTACCTTTATTGAAGATGCAGCAATGACTGATGAGACACTGTGTCCTGGGAGTGCCTTTTCCTCCTGAGTACTGTAGGTCCTGTTTGGCATTTTCTTCCAGAACAGGCCTTATCACACTGTGTATGCCACTACGATTCTTAAATCTCTCAAACCAACCTTTGCTGGCTTTAAATTCACCAATATGAGCACTAGTTCCAGGCATTTTTCCCTGTTCACCTGGGTGTTAGTCGACTGGTGTGGGTTGCATCCTGGGAGACAAGATTAAGGACCCCAATGGAAATAAGTTAGACAGTCTTCGATGACACTGACTTTTTTGGGTTATCCTGGGTGGCAAATCCTCTGGGGTTAATTGTTTCTTGGTATTCTCAATAAGCCACACCAACAACGGTGCTACAGCAGCAGCAGCAGCTGACGGTGGTACAGCAGCAACAGACGATGCTACAGCAGCAACAGACGATGCTACAGCAGCAGCAGACGATGCTACAGCAGCAACAGACAATGCTACAGCAGCAGCAGACGATGCTACAGCAGCAGCAGGCGATGCTACAGCAGCAGCAGACGATGCTACAGCAACAGCAGACGGTACTACAGCAGCAGCAGCAGTTGACGGTGGTACAGCAGCAGCAGCAGCTGTACCACCAATAGTAGCGATGGTTGATTGGGGTTTATTATACAACCTGGCCAGCTCGGAGACACGCACTCCACTTTCATACTTATCAATGATCTTTTTCTTCATCTCTATAGTAATTCTCACCCTTATTGCTGTAGGGTTGGCACTAGAAGCTTTCTTGGGGCCCATGGTCACTTATTTTCCAGAAAAAATCACCAAAAACACTGTAATAATACGAAATGTTCCGATTGTATGCTTGGATGTTACCGCGGAGGCTGGCTGGTAAACAATGCCACCGGCGGAACATGTGAGCGTGGCTCAGGCCGCACATTGGATGCGTCTCGGACGAAGAGCGGTGAGCGGGTTTTTGGGCGGTATGCAAGGTAAAATTTTTGCGAAAAGAGCGAGCGGTATGCGGATTGTACAGTATGCGATGCGTGCGGTATGCGGGGGTCCACTGTATATGCATTTTATCGCTCTGGGATGCTTAAATGTAATATAATATTATGTGGCCTGGTATGGTAGCCCGGCTGACTACCATACATACCACACTTGATTTCTTATAATAAATACTACTTGTCTCACCCTAAATTAAGACTATAAATATTTTAAGGTACGTAATGAGTGCACTGTGTGTGTATTGTACTTTTTTATTTTTTTGTGATGCCTAGTTCTATTGCTAACTTAATACATGTTAGTGTAAACTTGTTATCTAGTATTTGTATGCATTTATAAGTGGAAAAAAAGGGTGTTCCACTTTACGGCGGTAGCCTGGAACCTAACCTGCCGTTTAAGTGGGGCCCTACTCTAATTTACATTTATTTTTTCAACACGATGGTCGTCTCCCACCAAGGCAGGGTGACCCAAAAAAGAAACACTCATCATCCTTCACACAATATCACTGTCTTTGCAAAGGTGCCTATATATGACAGTTTAGATGTCACTCCAAACATACATACATACATACCATACATACATACATACTTTTTTTTAATTTTAACATATCAGCCATTTACCACAAAGGCAGGGTGACCCAAAAGAAAAAAAAAAAGAAAAAAAAAAAAGAAAATACTTCATTATCACTCAACAGGTCCCAGACACCATTCGTCTACATTCACTTCTAACACGCTCAAGCATGCTTGTTGGAAATCCAAGCCCCTCGCCCACAAAACTTCCTTTATTCCCTACCTCCAACCTTCTCGAGGGTGACCCCTACCCCACCTTCCTTTCCCTACAAATTTACAGGTTCTCCACGTCATTCTACTTTGTTCCATTCTCTCTCAATTTCCACACTATGAATTCTCTGCATAATATTTACACCACGCACTGCCCTCAGACACAACATCTTCTCTGCCTCCAGCCACCTCCTCGCTGCAGCATTTACAACCCAAGCTTCACACCCACATAAGTGTGTTGGTACCACTATACAGTGGTATCCTGAGTTTCAAACTGCTCCCAACTCAACCAATTATGTAAGTAGATGAATGGTTCAGAGAACCGACATGTTGTTGAATTAGACACATGTGCAACTCTTGGGTATCTTTATTGAGGAAACGTTTCGCCACACAGTGGCTTCATCAGTCCATACAAAGGAGAAACTTGAAGAACAGGAGGAGAATGAGGTAATCAGTCCCTCAGCCTTGAGTCGATGTGTTCAGTCCATCAATCTTAATACTTGGGAATTCTTCACTTGCCTAACCCTTGGGCACGACCTACTTCCACATTGGACACATGTGACACCACATACGACTGCTGCACCTCTCCTGTCTACGGTTTATAAGCTGCTTCTCTGCTCATATGCCGTATTCTATTCAAGATTGATGGACTGAACACATCGACTCAAGGCTGAGGGACTGATTACCTCATTCTCCTCCTGTTCTTCAAGTTTCTCCTTTGTATGGACTGATGAAGCCACTGTGTGGCAAAACATTTCCTCAATAAAAGATACCCAAGAGTTGCACATGTGTCTAATTCAACAATTATGTAAGTGTATTATTGTCAGTGCTTTTGTAAGTATATTTTTGGGGATTTGAAACGGACTAATCTAATTTACATCATTCCTTGTGGAAACAAATGCATTCAGTAATGGCACCTGAACAGCCTCCTGGAACGAAGAAAGTTCGAAACTCGGGGTACGACTGTACTTTCATACATTCCCTTCTTTGCTTCCATGGATGAAGTTTTTTTTTTGTCTCCACAGATATCTCAAGCACCACACACCTTTTTTCCTTCATCAATTCTATAGTTAACCTCATCCTTCATAAATCCATCTGCTGACAAGTCAATTCCCAAATATCTGAAAACATTCACTTCTTCCATACTCCCTCTCTCCAATGTGATATCCAATTTTTCTTTGTCTAAACTGTTTGATACCCTCATTACCTTATGCTTAACTACATTCACTTTCATCTTCCTACCTTTACACACCCTCCCAAACTCGTCCACTAACCTTTGTAACTTTTCTTTATAATTTCCCAAAAGCATAGCATCATCAGCAAAATGTAACTGTGTCAACTCCCAATTTGTATTTGATTCCCGATAATTTAATCCCACCCCTCTCCCCAACACTCTAACATTTACTTCTTTTACAACCCCATCTATATATATATTAAACAACCATGGTGACATTACACATCCCTGTCTAAGACCTACTTTTACCGGGAAGTAATCTCCCACTCTCCTACACACCTTAACCTGAACCTCACTATCCTTATAAAAACTCTTTACAGCATTTAGTAACTTATTACCTATTCCATACATTTTAAACATCTGCCACCTTGCTCCCCTATCATATGAGTTTTCTAAATCCATAAATGCAATGAAAACTTCCCTACCTTTATCTAAATACTTTTCACATACACACATACCACATATTAATATACTTCTTTCATCAACACTTTATCTTAAAATGTGATCCTAGTATGTACCATCTACAATAAATATAACTGTAATGTACAATACAGATAAAACACATTTGTACTTAACTATCAAAACTAACCTTTTTTACTATCAACTCTGTAGACTGGATCAAAAGAAGGATACACAGTATTTGAAAGCTGAAATTTAGTAAACTGTACACATCTTTCAATGACATCCTCGAGGTAGACTCTCTTGCTCATATTTTGAGAAGTCATGATATTCATGGCTGTAAGTGATGCATCCATCGCTCGTAAAATACGTTCCATTACTAACTCCATCCAAAGCTTGTCATCATCATCATCATCCTGCATGGAATTATAACATGTTTTTAATGCTCAAAGTTACTATTTTCACGCCAGAAAATATTTCAATAGTTTCCTGTATTTAAAATATTCAAACTGTACAGTAAAGCACTCTATAACAAACCATTCTCTATTTGTATTTACCCATGCATGAATTTGTTCTATCTCCTACAATATATATAAAGTAATACCTAAGAATTTTGTCAACGTAGAATCCCACCCCTATGTGCTAGACGCTACAACATGTGTAACGCGGAAGTGCAAAGACTATAGTAACATGGATTGTGGTGTACCAATGAATATATGTAAATGAAATTAAGACCATTCCACATTCTAAACACCTAAGGCCTTAAGTGGATAGCTAGTGAAAATACAAATAGCGGCGTATGTTAGATCACTCTTCAATGTCTGTGGACCATAGAACAAACAGTTTTAAGATCAACTGTCAAGTGCCATAGTACTACGCACAATGAGTTCTCATCTCCAGATAAGCATGTTAGAAAAGTAAACCATAAACCACAAGGCGGGATAGAACCAACAATCAGAGTCTCAAAATCCAGACCGCACGTAGCCACTGGACCCACAGCTAGCCACAATAAGATTCCGTCCAACATAGGTTTGGAGACTTTCTGATCGCGCAGTTTCTATCACCCACGCCCATGGTATGAGTTTGGTTTCGCAATCTGCATTAACGATTTTCCTTGAGTCCTGTGTGAACATGTAAAATTTTGGCCTATACACTGAGAGAATAGGTCTATGCCAAGTGTGCACCAATAATAAAAATCCTGCCCACAAGCAGTGCAATATTGAGTAAAAAAACTGTCAACAGTGTTTTTGGTTCTTTAAACCCTTCAGGTACAGACCCCTGACTTGAAACTTGTCACAGGGTCCAAAATTTAAAAAAAAAAAAAAAATTGTTTTTATCTTATGAAACTGTAAGGGAATGCTATTTCTCAATATAAGTAAAATAAAAAGTATGCAATTTGAAAGAAAATTGACAAAAATAACATCCTAATCCTGAATTTTGACCACAGCATAATATTTATTCATTGGCGATTTTTGTGGAAGTTTGAGTACCTAAATTTTGGCGTCACCAGTTACAATATGTTTCCAGTCCCCCCAATTCTTTAGCTAGTATGTCTTTCCATTTTAACGATTGGAGGGGGGAGTAACAAGAAGACTGCCAAATCAACTATTTACCACTCACCCACAAAGTGAATCCAGATTAATTGATAATTTGACCAACTTCCACCACAACAAATTCATAGAAAGCCGAGAAGTTTAAAATGAGTTGCGAAAAAACACTGTGCGCGAGCATGGTTTGGCAGGTATTTACTCTAACATTATGACTGCGTGTTCCTTATAGTTACTATTCCAGCATTATACACATACAACTTCCACTATGCGAATTTTTGATTCATAGTCACACCAAATCACGTAATTTAACTGTTAAGTCACTATCTATAAATAATGTCAGACACTTTCACATGAATGCAACGTGTAGACAAGCAGGGTGGATGCATGTAGATAATCTTATTTGATTTATTTACTTTTGGCATATTGGAAAAATGCAACATTATCCTGCTAAATTGAGTTAAATTTGCAAGATAAAAACCAATCAAAATCATCTCTATTATCTGTAATATATCTTCCCGTTCGAAATCCACTGAGGACCAAGAAAACTGCGAATACAACCTTAAAAAACATATGAAAATATATCGACAAAGTTAGTTGTTTCAAGCCAAAAAAGTCGCATTTTTTTTCTCATTATTGGCACTTGACTGCAGGATTTGTTTCATGATGGTACACCACATATATCATACATGATGCATTCGATCTTCATAACGGCAGGCCCTGGGTGCCAAAGTTTAAACCGCTCGATCAAACATACATCAGCTAACTGGAGTGAGCTGAAGCTTATGACGTAGTACTGCAACACAAGCGTTAGAACCAGGCTTCAAAGCCACAGAATTACAGGACGGACCCCTCTGAAGCGGATTTATGACCAATTTCCTCTAATGACCTACTCTTAGGAACCAAACTTGGTCATTTAATCGCGAAGTATAACCTGTACCCAACAACACATCTTCCATAACCCCCTACCCTTTCATACTGACAACACAAGCTACCGATATACACAAGACTACCATACTGCCATTGTCACAATTGCTCCTATTTCTTTCTATGTTCAATCTTTTTATTTCTTACTCATTTGCATATCCTTCCAAATTCGTCTACCAACCTTTCAGTTTGTCTTCAGAATCTCCTGACAGAATCTGTGTCTCAGCAAACAAAGCAACTGTGACAATGCCCCACAATTTATATCAAATCCCAACTACAAAGAATTCCATACCTCCTCGGAACAGCCACAACAATTTTCCACTTATCTTATTACAACCCTGACTGATATTCTTTTGGTACTATAAGTATATGTACAGCTTTATGCTTCAATGTTAACACTTGGTCCAGGAGGATCTCATTAAGTAAATATAAGAGTAAAATATTTTGAGCTTGACTTAATTATACCACATTGAAATTAAAGTTAGTAGAAGACGAACAAATGCAGTGTATATTAATAAGAATTCACAAATCTATATACATTATAGTTTAAACCTATGATGGAGAATTACTCAAGACACCAACTGGACTTAAGCTTATCCTTTTTCTTACCTTGTAATGTTCTTAGATAATAGTTCTGTTAAAGCGCTCAACTACCTTGGAAAATAAATTGACTTAAATTATGTAACTCATTGGTGTCAAGCCGATTGAAGAGCTAAAAAAATTAACATATTACTGCTGACTCATCTTCTTGATACCTCATCTACAATAGGATGTACTCCTGTTTATCTCATCTCTTATGTTCTTGCGTCACAAAAGTTGAGGAAGACAGACTAGAGACGCACTAGATGAACAAAGGTCCAAATACTCCAAACCTTTTGAGTTTAGCTAATGCACTCTGAACACAGTCTGACAGTAATTACATACTTTTCTTGGATATATAGGTATCTTCCTTGCACAAATCACCATCTTCCTCTGTTTCTGCGGAAAGTAATCATATCAAGACCCTGTAGTTGTACGCTCTCTGTAACACACATTACTATTATTAATTTTTTGTACCTTTGATATATCTGTGTAGTTATAATGTAACCTCCTACTCCCATTATTTTACGTCCTATGACTCAGTGTAACAGAGATTAGACTGTGTAACGAATATACACTAAAGCAGATTCAAAATATAGTACTGAACATCTCTAACCAAGAACAGAACTCTAAAGATGACTATCAAGACTGTTGAGAGGGAATTCTTTTCACAGTAAAAGTAGATCTATAGAAAGGGGTGGTGGAATGCCAACCATGGGTAGTGTTTAGCCTATAATGGAACAACTGGTGTGTTGAAAAAGCAAGTGACTACTAGGGTGTCTGTGTAGAAGTGTGGGAATAAATAGCTAATCCATTTTTGAGGCAAAACAGGAGTTGCACGTTCACAGATATCTACATTTTTTATTATTATTATTGCACTGATAGCCCAGTTCTTTTGGCGATTAATATAGATAAGTACGCAAAGGATATCTTAAACGACCTTTCAGGGTCGTCCCGTAATCTAACAGGCCATTCACGTTCAAAAACCAGGTCAAACCGTAGATCATACCCATGAGACTCAGCTCACTCTGATAAACTGAGAGTGGTACTTTAGGGCCTAAGAAATAGCTAAGAAACACATCAATGGTGGATGTGGGTGTGCACCACATCCAAACAGATACCTGCAGCACAACTTGTATAATGAGAAGAAAAAAAATAGAAACATAACCATGATTTTTTATTTCGATAAAAAAACGGCAACATTGCAATAGTTTTATTACTTTTATCTCGGTATGTGTTATAATTTTTCTAGTTAAGATAAATGCCGATTTATACGATGGTCTGCATTGGTAGAGGATAGAATGGCAGACGAGTATTGTAACAGAAATGAGAGATCATACTGATATGGATTTATAAGCACAAGTAGTAAGATAAAGAGCTAGCACAACTGAGCTCACCTGTATGCAGAAAAAGTTCAAATTTTCTATATGCCGCTCATCACACGAGTAAACAAACGACCAGCCCATCACACACGACTACAATACACTTCAGCTGGATGCGGTCCTCTAACATCCCAAAAATGGATGCAGCTCTATATAACAAAATTAACAGTATTGCATTATCAAGATCACATCTTGTCTACATCTAATCTTGAATGTTGACACCCCACAAAACAAAAAGAGGTCGATCAGGACACCAAAACCAACATTATCCATCATTGACACTCGCTGCAATCTCAGACATATTCCGCCTAATGAACCGCGCGCCCCAGAAACGAAACACACTAAACGGTCCCTGCCCACATCCTCCCATAAATTACTGGCCCCTCAAATCCCCTAACGCCGCATATACTGGGGGGGGGGGGGTTGGGGGGGGGGGGGGGCACATATAATATGTCTCTCACATATTGGTCAAAATTATCCAAACTACCCCAACAACTTATTTTGAAGTATTTCAACAGTTGACTTATGGCGATCTTCTATGTGCTCCAATATTCGATAGAAAGAAGTAATACTAGTGGAAAGTTCATCTAAGCAAATGGTTCTGTTGGAATAATGTAATTGGACTCAAAGGGAGTGCAAAGTCGATACAAAAATACGCCGATTGCCGATAAATACGCTGACGAACATATCAAATTCCCTCGAGAGCATAATATTAATTCCACAATCTTCACCAAACCAAATATTTATCGTACTTTTAGTATTTCAATTACCTTCACAAAAGATTCTCTAAACTAAACGCTTTTCCATAAGCACACAAAAACACACACACACAAATTTTATTTTATTTTAACACTTACTTGGACACTGTGAGTGCTAAGAACTCAGATTTGGGCCTTGGCCCCTGAAAGGGTTTCAACGGCAAACGAGTACCCAAGAGGTCAGAATTCTGAGAAACAACACCGGTCCCACATAAGAGCAACTGCAAGATTTCACATGGGGGTGCGATGTCATCAACAGCGGATCAAGTCTGAGAGATCAGCAACTGGACGACAAGGGTGTAGGGGTCAGTGGCAAGTTTATTATGTGTATAATACTATTATTTGGTCCACTGCCTGGGTATGGAAATGGCCGAAGATTTTAGAACACAAAACACATGTTGGGTACATAGGTACAGTCAACGGGTACATTCCACGTTTAGTTCAATGGCTTATGGTCTTAGGTGATCACTGTTGCTATCCAAATTCTGTGCCTGACGAAACCTTATGTCATATTTGTGGTGTAATATCTGTGCTCATATACCAAGTCCAAGACATAAGAATTGAGGCTGTAATGCATGGGCTAAATGCAATACAATTTTGGTTACATAACTGCTTGTTGCTACCCAAAATAACAAAACCTACAAGAATTGCATGAGAATAAGAGTTATCTCCAATAGACCACATCTGGAACACCACCATATTCCCCCATAAAAACGGCATAATACACAAGATAATACCCCAGACCACTACCCCTAAAACTACTATTCCTCAATAACCAATCTAGAAAATTATCCAAAACACCCTACACAAGTAACCTTCAGACTATCATAATTGAGAGCAGCCATTAATCACTTCGCGCGCGCGCGCGCGCGAGCGCGCGAGCCAAACAAGCAATGACAACCATTCGACTGGCAAATATGAGCTAGAATCTATACACTCTACTGACGAATGAATTCAAACGTATTCTAAAAAAGACCCCATACCACGATCAGTAACCAGCCTCCGGCCCTACAAAAACTACACTAGATCACAGTCTAAGAAGACTGAAACAGTCCCAGGCTAACACCCAGCATCCACAAATCATACATTGGACCATAAACCGAGACCAAACAAAACATTACACGTCACTTCCTAACCCGTCCTAGATTAAGGGCATAAAATTGTATCTATGAAAACAGATTCACGACCCACATAAAGGTTATATAAAAAAAGACCTGGAACACCACAATCTGCAATTATAAGGGCACAAAAAAAGATATCAGAAACAGAACATTCAGACTAACAAACAGATGAACCCCAATTCCCCCCACCAACTGAAACAGCACAACAAAGCGACTCGATATTTTCTACACACCAAAGGAAAAAACCTTGGCGGGTAAAACCCACCCCACGCCTCAAATAACCTACCCAAACCTCATGATTACCAGCCATTAGACACCTACCCAACACCACTGTTTCACTAGCTGTATTGGCCAAACCCAACTGAACCTCTCCCTTTTCTCCAAAACACAACTAAAGAACAAGGCAGATATTTAAATAACTTCTTTCTTATTCAACACACCAGTGGACTGTATCCCACCAAAACAGGGTGGCACAAAAAGAAAAATGAAAGTTTCCCATATTAAATTTAGAGTAATTTATACCAGAGATGGACAAGGGGTTACAAGCCCCTTACATCCCAGACATTTTATACACCTCCTTACAACACACAGGCAATGGCTTTACGGAGGAAGAATTCCTGACGCAACTTCCCCGTGGAGCATACAGAGGAAATAAACAAGACCAAGATCTAGAAGAAACACTAGAAGAAAACCCAGAGGTTGAGTATCTATTTATGCTTGAACATGTAAGTTAGTGTGACCAAGTGGCAAGTAGAACGATCAAGACATTACCTGAAATCTTGCATGTATATGAGTACAGACAAAGACACCATCAATCCTACCCTCATGATAAAAGCATAACCAGGTTGTTTCGTAGTACAACTACACTTGCCAAGGATCGTAGTACCCATCCCCCTCACTCCCTGGGCCGTTGCTGTTTACCAACCATACCTACGTTAAATAACATACCCCCACATTATATCCAAAAAAGCTTCACACGTACTGTCTCCAATCATTGCAACACGAGCTCTAAACAAATCCTAACTGACTCCTCTACCTTCCCCTACAGTTTAACCCATATGGAGGGTCTACTCCACTACATAGAGTGTGAGGCGAACACGCAGACTTGAAAAACTATAGGCCAATATCGCAAATTACACCCCACTCTCCTAAAATCATTGAAAAATTAATTCAATAAGCAACTCTATCCAACCACAATCTCCCACAATATACTCAACTCAAGACCCCTGACAATTTGAGTTTAGGCCTAATAAAAATACAAATGATAGCTATTTTACATATCACTACAATTAATATACCTGTACTGCAAACCGCGAAAAAACAAGAAAACCTGTGGAAATCTTCCATTGAATTTACGTAAATCATTTTGATACATCTGATCTTGATCATTTGCCTATCATTTATTTTTGTTTTAACCTAACATAGCTGGACTGTGTCACTCTGCCTATTGTCTACTACCATTTTCCACTAAGCTATATCTACAGACAAGTGCTTCTGATTCATCAGACTCACCATTAGTCACTGCACTATCGTCAACAGTCTCCTGCAGTTTGGAACCAAAAATGAAATCTTATATCAGAAGTTTCTCACAAAAGTTAAAAGCGTTTATTTAAATAAGGAAAACACACACCTCACCCATGTAATAATCTAGCATACCACACAATGTAGATGGTACATCCCCATTACCATAACCTGACCGTGCAACAATGATGGATGACACTCTCAGCCGCATAGTACTGTCTTAAACAAGAAAAGCTACATGTTTTGAATCGATTAAAAGCTCTAAATGAGCCAACACAAATGCCCTGGGTGCCACACATTTATGAAAATTGAAGTTTGAAAAGAGGCTTAACTCTGCACTTCAATACTAAGAGGCCATCAATACTGTTATGAAATATTCCAAAGCTGCTAAGGCCATAAAAAGTTATGAAAAAAAAA